GTGGGTCAGTATTTTTTATGCATAGGTTTAAGCAAAAATCAGCAAAATAGTAGTCCGTGCTGTTGCCTGGACAACTGTCACAGATTTTGCAAACCTTAAAGTCTATATTATAATTCTGATTGCCTTGCAGGTGTGATAGCTGTGATTCTGTTCTCAGTAGTATTGATAAACAAATTCATAGAGCTAATCTTTACAGAGAGAAAAAGGTACAGATCAAGAAATCTGTGGAAACAGAGGTGAGTAGCCTTTGTACGCGCACGGGCGCCAGGTTGTGTGCTACATGTGCAGTACCAGAACTTGAAAAATGTTTATTTTGATGAAAAGTTGGTTGCATGCGTTATTAAAAGAAAAACTAAATGATTCCTAAACTCATAGTCTTTAATATGGTTAGCGTATCAGATATCAAGATATAGATCTGTATTTGCTATATCATAATTTCTAGTTCTATTACTCTAAAGCCCAAAACTATATGAAGCCACCTTTAAATGATACTGTAATTGATCAATAAAGACTTGTGTATAGGATCTAAATATTCAGCTGATAATAGACCTTTTTAGCTTTGTTGTTTGCTGTGGACATTTCAGACCATGTGATGCCGCTTTTGGAACTTGATTCTTTCATGTTTAAATATTTTAACAAGTTTGTCATAAAAGAATGATTCTCAAACCAGAAACGAGTTATGACAGAGCTAAAACTACATGGATGGCCATTGTAACCAGCGTCTGACCAGCCATAATGTTGTGCCCAGCTCATGTATCATGAGTTATTTTTGTTACATTTTTGTTAATGCACTGTAACCTGTGTATTTCCTGTTCTTTTTAGGTAGAAAGCCTTAAGAAAGCTATAAAAGCAACATCCCAAACTGGAGAAATGGAGGAGGAGGGAGATATGGGTGTTGGAGCATACCAAAGTCAACAATACCAGCAGAAATCAGCTTCTTCTGGAAAACAAAAGGGGTATGAATCATGGTGTGATTATCTTCATAATAATATGGGAAGCATGGGTGGCATAGCAATGAGATTCACTTGCCTCAAAGCACCAATGCAGCCCAAGTTCGAGTCCCGACGAGCTCAGTGTTGTATGTGAGTTAAGTTGTTTGTTCGTTCTCTCCTGTGCTTCGAGGTTTTTCCAGGCTCTCCAGCTTTCCTCCCTCCGCAAAAATCAACTTCTAAATTCCAATTGGAATTACAGTGGATGGTGAAGTTCTACTATATCATTTAAGAGGGGGAAAGAGAGAGGAATTAAAGTGACACAGATTATTTTTGTAATTGAGGCCATGATAGTGTAAATTATACAAACGAATGGATAAAAACATTTTCTTGGCAAGCAAAAATATTAGTACAATATCTTTTTGCTCACCCTTTTGTTCCTATTTAGATTTCCTAAGTTAGTGTCCAATGTAGTCTATATGTAGAAATACACTTTCTGAAACTGTAAGGAAACTATATAAATTGGGCTCCCTGTGGTGACAACTTCAAAATAATGCTTACTGCATSTTACCGCCACCCGGTTAGCTCGGTAAGAGCGTCGGTCTGTTGTGCGGAAAGTCAAGGTTCAAGCCTCGGCTGGACCAACACTCAAGGTCTTAAAATAACTGAGGAGAAGGTGCTGCCTTTGTAATTATAATTGCAATTGTTAGACCTTCAAGTCTTCTCGGACGAGGACTTAAAACCGTAGGCCCCGTCTGTCTTCGCTATATAACTCTGTATAGGCGGACGTAAAAGATCCACTGAAGACCCTGGTGACGACCATCTTCAGTGCCCGTGCTAAAAAAACTCGAGGGCCACAAGTTAATCAGTTAACAAAATTACTGGCACGTGTCACCCTCATTAAATAAAGTCTTCAATCAATCAATCTATCTATCTATTTGTTGCCTAGAAGTGATTTTACAATCAAGTCCTATCATTTTAATATAGTTCTTGAAATTCTCTTTCTAGGCACAGAGTGGGAGGCAAGGTCTTTGGTTCGCAAGTACGAAGATAATATTAGTGCCAAATCAATATCATACAAATGTATTTCTTCTAAACTGAACAAAGTAGTGATGGCGGATTGACTCATTGACAATCTTTTGTGTTAGGGCTATTTGTTGCATTTCATTTGAGAGAAACGTTTTCATTTCAATTTGTACATCCCATTCAATTCCGATTTGTACATTCATTTCCCAAATGAACAAATTTCACAACCAGCCATTGGAATGTCTGAGTTTGCAGAAAATGAAAAACTGCAGTAAAAATCACTGATGAGAGTTTTTTGAATAAACTTGTTTCAAAGTATAGTTTATTATAATAGTTTCCTAATTCATCTTAAACGTTGTTTAAACATAATTGTATAGCATAAACTCACTACATAGCCTCCTCAGCAGGAAACTCTGATTTTGGCGATTCTTTTGAGTTCTTTTGAGATGGATTAAGCTTATGGAATAAGCAGTGCCAAAGAATACCAGCTAGAGTTGCCTTCGTAGGAGCCTGTATGCTACAGATTCTCTGATTGGTTGGAAAACAGTGCTCTCTCAAGTAATAGAGCATGGTGATGATGTCATCATCCACTCATATATATATATATATTGACCACACCCTAATTTCAATTCTTGTTTAGTGGGTGTTACCCCTATCATGATGTACATATATCTTGTAAGCATGTACCCTGCGAGGAGAGATTCCCTTTTCTATAGAAAAGGGAATCTCTGCTCGCAGGGTAGTTAGCCTGTTGTCTTAGTCATTTATTTAAAGAATTGACAGTTAAAACATCGGTTTATGTACTTAATATGTATAAAACATTAAACATCAAGGTTTTGCAACAATCAAGTGCAGAGTCCTTTTGTGATTGATTGAAGCCATAAACCCCGAAAACATTAGACCATTTTCTCATGAAAGGAATTTTTCCCTCGATTCATGGGCAACTCCTTTGTCTTGAACAAAAATAAGGTAGCATACACACTTAGCATATAAAAATAAGGTAGTTAGTAAACTGATCCCCAGGGGAAGGTGGGGGGGGGGGTGGTAGAGGGACTCCCCTTCCTTCTACCCCCTCCCACAGACCCTGATATTCGGATAAAGCATTACTAAAAAAGGTCCTTGTATTAAACTGTACTTGTAACGAGAATACATTTTTTCGTCTCTTTTCTTCAATACTGAGTATGAAACTAGCGGATCGATATTTTGATCACAAAATACTGAGATCAGTGTTTAGCGTTAAGTAAGCGATGTCACCGTGGCCCCGCGCTCACTCTTTTAAAGCTTCATAAAAATATAATACTTCTTATCGGAATACTAAGAGAAAACGTTAATCAGAACCTGTTTGAGATCTGTTTATTACAACCTTAACGATTATTTCGTTAATGTTTCAGCCGAATTAAATACTAGTTACTCTTAAAGTGCACATGAACCCTTCGACAATACTTTCAGTACTGATGCTACATGAAGTAAATAGTTGAATGGTGAAATATTTCTTGATTTGAGTGATACGTCTCTAAGTTATGAAGGTTTATACTTCCAATATGCTAATAAATTTGACGTCAGTTGAGGTATTTGAGTGTTTTTTTTTTAAACTTAGAGACGCATCACTCAAATTAAGAAATATTTTACCAATCAACTATGCAGTTGATTGGTAAAATACTTTATCCAGAACCAGTCCTGAACGTATTGTCGAAGGGTTCATTTGCACTTTATTTTTTCTTATGAGTTAAGGATAGCTGTGATACGGATATCGATCCAAAGTAAAATACTAAACAGATTAAATTCCATTCAGTTGTATTAAGCTTGAATTGGTAGTAAAAATACAATATATATTCCTCATTTATCACTGGAAAGCCTTTTTCATGGTTTCATATTTACTTTGTGTGGCATTAACGACGCTTCGAGCGGCCAGAGCGAGTCCGTATTTTAAAAAAATACGGACCATTCCCGAAATACTGACGTAGGCAAAAGCCACTTCCATCGCCTCTTCCTAATAAAGATTCGTGAGATTTTTTTTTTTTTTTTACAGAAAGCAATTTTTATTGGCACGGATTTTTTGCGAGCCATTAACAAGAAGACAAATTGATCGTAAAATGGATCGCTATTTCGGTAATTAACCGTGGCACAGCTCTGAAATTTCCCACCGCGATTTAATGCCCGCAGCAAGTAAAATAATCCTACTGATTTTAAGGGATGAAATCGTATTCCCTTGAAAGCATCTTGAAAATTATTTTTATGAAGTTGTTGTTTTAATATTATAGTTACAGTTTCTTTTTTTTAAATAATTAGTACTCATTTTGCAAATGAGTTTTATAACAAAACCGAGTCACAGGACAGAAGAATAATTATCATAGCTGGAAGGAAAGAGCACGTTTAAATTTGTATAACAGTGAAGCTTGGAGGAAGAAAGTTCAAAAATAGCGAAGATATGAATTTTCAAAAATGGAAATTTTGTAAGAAATTTAAAATTCGTACTTTTCAAAAACCATATCTTCGCGAGTTTTGAAGTTATTTCTTTCAAACATTCCCCATTTTACTGATATTAACACGCTCTTTTCAACCACGGGAATTATTTTGCAGTGTTTCACTAATTTCAAGATATCTCATTCATTGTTAGAAAAACATGTCATTGTGGCTTTGATAACTTTCTTCTGGGGGTAGGGGGTACCGCTTTGATCACGTGATATTGATTCRGTCTTAGAACGCATCATACATCATTTCTTCCTTTGATATATCCAGTACTGTATTGTTATATCTCTGAGTAATACTTTAAAAGCTACGTCTTACAATTATAGGAAGCGGTAGATCCGAACGCTTGTCAGTGAGGCAGTGAGCAGCAGACACTCTCTACTCAACGATCGATTGTTTTGGTGCTTGGTTGCTCGTATTATTCCGTGGCTTTGAAGCTGTTGAAGTTAAATTGAAGTTCTTTCGTAAAATGGTAAGTCGTTCGTTTGGTAAACACAACACTTTATCAACACTATGTTCCTAAGTAAACACTTCAGCTTGCAAGGAGCGGAAATTTGTGGCGGAGCGCAATGTAAAGAAGGATGCATAAGAGGGAAATTGTTAGATGACGAATTTTGTTATCGAACGTTTTTCTTCCTTCGTGTGGTAGAGAAAAAGAGAGACAGACAGAAAGGGAGATGGGAAGGGAGAGCAGAGGAGAAAGAGAGGGAGAATCAATGAGTGAACTTTATTGTACTCGCATTATTTCATTTATGTTTATCAAAACAATTGCTTTTTATCATGAAAGCTCAGTTTGAAGAAATAGTAGACTAAAAATTACAAATTCAAATTCGATTGGAAAGAGAATCGAAGACACTATGATTGATTCAATTCTGACACCGTAATTTATAGGCTAAAAGCGCCAAATATTTTTTAAAAATCCCATAAAATACCATTATTGTCAAAGCAGCAATTATTCTAATCTATTATTTGGATAAGGCATATATTAATCGTATCTAGTATCTCTAAGTAGCGATGAAAAGTTTTTTTGATCACCGCTCATTTTTCAGGATTACGTCATAATGTTCTACCGCGAAAATGGTCGTTTTGTCAACCCGCGTTATAAAGCTTTTTAAGTACCATTTGAAATAGTATACAAGGTTGTGTCCAACGAGTCGGACCTAAAAAACAATATAGATCTAAAGCAGTAAAAAATTTACGGTTAAAAAAGCCTTATTTTTCAACAGAAAAACTGTAAGCCTCAAAATGTCGATATATGGACCTCTTTTTTTTTTTTTTCTTTTCTTTCTTTCTTTCTTTCTTTCTTTCTCTCTTTTT